ATTATTAGGTACCCTCAGGACTCAAATCTGTAAAAGCTGTAATCTGATCTTTCACATTAGCCAGGTGTGATGGATTTTCAGATGGTATCCTTAAATGTCTTCCATCAATGATATTTTATAGAAAATGTTAATTCAAAATTGCAAATATTGCGTAAAAGAAGGGAAAAGCAAATAGAAAATAATATAGAATATAGAACATACAGAATAGAAAAGAAATAATCTTCCTGTTTGAGGTTGATAATTTGAAATTAATTTTCCAGTTTACTTCATGGATTATTGAACTGGAGGCTGAATTAGAGTATTAATCAATATAACTGTCTTCTGCCTTTTCCTAAATCTTGTTTAAGCTCAGACAAATTTGAGTATGTTTATTAAATAATTAAATTAACAACAACATCAGCATTTGTAGCCCAGATAGCTACTGGAAAAAGGTAATGTGCATTTATAATAGCTTTAGGAGGAAATTTACAGTAGTTTACACTTATTGTCTTTTACTCACCTCCTAGGATTCTGATAGGAAAGGAAATGACTTCTATCAGCCAATTGTTGAAGGAGAGATAAAAAGGGTCTGTCTCCATTTTCATCCACTTATACCAGGGGTCTTCAGACTTGGTCCTTTTATGACTTGTGGACTTCAACTCCCAGAATTCCTGAGCAGCACAGCTGGCTCAGGAATTCTGGGAGTTGAAGTCCACAAGTCATAAAAGGGCCAAGTTTGAAGACCCGTGACTTATATTATGATGGTTGTGGAATGATAGATGCAGAGTTGACTATAAGATGGGCACCCATTTATAGATAAGCAGAATGAATGAATGAATGAATGAATGAATGAATGAATGAATGAATGAATATCTACTTTCTTCCTTTGGTAATGTGGAAACCAAGTGGACTGGTGGAAGAGGGGTTCCTTCTCACTTGTTTGTCTGAAATTGAAATTCTTAGGTTTGTTTGTTTGTTTGTTTATACAAATAATTCAAGGTGGCAAACATACCAACATAGGTTTCTCCCTTTACAATCTTGTGAGGTGGGTTGGGCGGAGAAAGAGTGACTGGCCAAAAGTCACCCAGCTGGCTTTCATGGCTAAGGGGGGCTTGAACTCTTGGTTTCCCGCTTTCTTCACTGGTGCCTTAACCATTAGACCACACTGAGTCCCACTGAATGAAATTCTTAGTTCCCAGGGTTTTGAATTCATCACTGATTTATAATCAGGTATATCTTTTACGTATGCTACTGAGATTAATTTGTGAATCAGAGAGAAGAAAGAGCACTGCTGAATCTCTACAACTATTAAACAGCATTCACAAAGTCCTCCTAAAATTGATGTTCCATAGGACACATATCAGGAAAAAAAGAATAACAGAGTAACAGAAGGGGCCTTGGAGGTGTACTAGTTCAACACCCACCCACCCACACTTAAGCAGGAGATAATAATAATAATAATAATAATAATAATAATAATAATAATAATAATAATCATCATCATCATCATCATGACCATCACCATCACCATCATCATCATCATCATCATCATCTTTCGAATACAGACAGATCACCATTTGAAACACAATATGCTGGATATCACAATTGTAGAGAACCGAAGCGTACAGCTGATTGATATCGCTGTACCAGGAGATGCCAGAGTCAAAGAAAAAGAACTAGAAAAAATTATGAAATATCGCGACCTGGCCATCAAAACTGCACGATTATGGATGAAATGTGTAACAGTGGTACCCATTGTCATCAGGGCACTAGGAACTATGTCCAAAAATTTTGCAAAATACATCAAGAAACTGCAGCTTTCTGCAATAACTCCAGCAATGTTACAAAAAACTGCGCTACTCTGAACATCTTATATTTTAAGAAGATACCTGGTTGACACATAGGATGCTGGTAGCAACCCGTGTCAACCATCAGCGCCAGCCAATTTGAATGTTCAGTTGACTGAGGTTCATGTTTAATGAATTAATAATAATATAATAATAATAATAATAATAGTTGGAAGGGACCTTGGAAGTCATCTAGTCCAGCCCCTGCTCAGGCAGGAGACCCTATACCATTTCAGACAAATGGCTCTCCAGTCCCTTCCTAAAAACCTCCAGTGCTGGAGCATTCACAGCTTCTGGAGGCAGGTTGTTCCACTGATTAATTGTTCTAACTGTCAGGAAATTTCTCCTTAGTTCTAGGTTGCTTCTCCTCTTGGTTAGTTTCCATCTATTGCTTCTTGTCCTGCCTTCAGGTGCTCTGGAGAATAGCCTGACTCCCTCTTCTTTGTGGCAGCCCCTGAGATATTGGAATATGCTATCATGTCACCCCTCATTCTTCTCTTCATTCGACTAGACCAGTGGTAGCAAACCTATGGCACGCATGCCAGTTGTGGCACTCAGAGCCCTCTCTATGGGCACGGGCACCGTCACTCTAGACCCGCCTCCTCCTGTGGACCCCTCCTCACCAGCAGCCCCCCCTGTAGGAGAGTCTCACTCGAACACGGCCCATGTGGAGCAGCACAGCCAAGGACATGGCAGCCAGGCAGCAGGGACAAGACTTCATCCTCATGCTCCATCGTGCACAGATGATGCTGCGGGGCATGGGTGGAGGGTGTGGCCGCCATGGCGCTGCTGGGCTGCCATGGCGATCTGCTGTGGCAGGCCATGGAGGTGGTGGGTGGCCCTGTGGGTGGGGTGGGGGCAGAGTGGGGGACGGGGAGAAACAGTTTTTGGGCATTCGGTCTCTAAAAGGTTCGCCATCACTGGACTAGACATACCCAATTCCAGCAACTGTAACTTATATGTTTTACCTCCAGTCCCTCATTGTCTTTGTTGCTCTTCTCTGTACTCTTTCTAGAGTTTCAACATCTTTTTTACATCGTGGTGATCAAAACTGGATGCAGTATTCCAAGTGTGGCCTTACCAAGGCATTGTAAAGTGGTATTAACACTTCATGTGATCTTGATTCTATCGCTCTGTGAAACAAATCCTATACTGTTTCAGACAAAAAGGAGAGGGTGGAAAAGAGCAAATGGAACATCTGTGCAACTATTACCGCTTCCTATATGGAACTTCTTCACTGAATTTATCACTCTGTGAGCAAGCTACCTGAGAAGTCCTAAAAGAAATGTTGCTAAAACATTGAGAAATAAGAAGAGGGGAAACCCTAGTGTTTACAGCAGCTAAAGGGGGGGGGGGTCAGTCTGTTCATTTTGCTCTTTAAAGATCTAAAACGATACGCCCCCTGCAAACCCAGCCCACTGAGAAATAGATAGAAATAATGGCAAGGAAAGGAATATCCTGAGAATTTAGTTGACTGTGATCTCTTGTCTATGTTCTGCCACAGATGGCCCACGCAGCAAATTTGGAGAGCCCAGTTTAGTTTAATCCAGCAGAATTTGCATAGCCAGCTGTTTTTTGAACTGCTTTACAATAAAATTGCTCAAGTTTGTGCTCAATCACTGCACATTGTTTTAATGAATTTCATAACTGTGCCAGGTTTATTTTTTGTGAAGCGTTTTCTGTACTGAATCTCATGCCATATTCTTTAATAATAAGAATATGAGATTTCCTCTCTGCTTTTTCCAGACAATGCAGAATTCAAATACGTTCCAGATATTTCAGTCTTTCCTTGCTCCAGCCTCTAAGCCTTTGAGACTGGCAAGTTTGCCATTTTAAAAATATTTTTTGCAACCACTAACATATTTTTTATTGACCATGTTTCCTAGATTGGGTAATGAAATGTCTGCAAGAAAACAACAAAGCTCAGAGAACACCAAGGTACTCTCATTTTTTATTAATACAGACATTTTGTGGTGCTAATGTTGCCTTCATTAGATGCCCTGTAAGAATTAACTTTAAAGTTTCCTCAAGACTGGTTATTATATTTAATAATTTTAGTTGACATTTCTTGTAATTTAACCCTTTTATTTCTTAAGTATGATATGAAAACTATGCATATTTCAAATATGATCGCATCACAGATTTGTATGGAGACTTTGTATTACGGGCAGTTTTATTCTCAAATGATAAATGAGAATAAATAAATAATAAATGAGAATGAATGGCCAGGATGGAACTGGCCATTTTTAAATCAGTCACTAGGCAATTATATGTCAGATAATGCCCACCTTGTCTTTTTAATAAATAAAGACATCGATAAAAGCCTGCAAACGTGAGTTTTCCAGTAATAATTTTAATGTGATCACTCTGATTTGATCACAATAGGAAGAAGACAGAGAAGTGGAAGGAGAAAACTAAAGATCCTCAAATACACTAGAATTAGAATAGATACATTAATTAAAAGTGAACTAAAACAAACAAACAAAAAACCTCAAATGGTAGATTCGGTGGATATTGGGACATTTTTTGCTCTCAATTTTCTATGTTTATATTTTTCCAACTGGAAGTGTGTCAGGCACAAACTATCAGGACCATCTGTTAGATTGCAGCATACAAAATTTATTTAAGCCTACACATTAGAATTTAATCAACTAAGGGTTAACGTTAAATTAGCGCTACATAATGGTCAAAGGAATTCGGGAAGAGGGCTGGATTTGGATATTTTGTGGCAATGTAAGGATTCTAAGCTAATGACACATTTAATTCCACTCCGCCCAGCTCTGCCTGTTTTTCTTCTACAAGTGTTGACAGCAAACAAAAATTATGAACTTCTGATCATCAAAAATTCTCTTCTCAGGAAAAGAGTTGTCATCTCTACTAACACCATAATGTAAACCAAGGAAAGCTTTTTTTAAAAATGACAATCCTTCAAATGCACATATACTGGCATATACAATATATCCTAACCTAGCATGCATACTGTATATTCCAATTTGAAGAAGACAAGTATCATGTAATCCATAATATATTACTAGCTTCAACTACTGAGATGCTCAGTCTTTTTTTTTTAATGCAAAACCATAACCAGTCTCTTCTTTTAATTTATTCAAAACATAGATGATACATTTTGAGGAGAAAATGATGAAAGAAACCAAAAAAGGGGAAAGCGAGCAATCCAAAGTATTGTAAAATTTATTGTTTTTAAGTATTGCAGCTTTTTAAGGATAGAATGACATAATCATTGCCACTATTGGTTACTGTTACACAAGAAGCATTTTACAACAGAGTTGTGGAAATTGGCATCAGAGTACATATTCATACAAAAACAGCTAAGTATAGATAAGTACTGCATTGCATGTGCTGTCTTTTGTTTACATAAGGTTTTTTTTAAGTTGAACAAAAAATTCAGGATACAGGACTGCATATAATAAACTTCAAAGCCAAAAGCAATGCAACTGGAAATTGAAGAAAATATTAAAATACAATGAAATGTGACTATAAGGCAGGCAAATCAGGACTTTTAACGTAGTACTCCATGAGCTTCTATATTACAGCAAAATAATCTGAAAGCACAATTTATGGAAAAGTTTAGTTTTGCTTCCCCAATCCTTTTAGTTTGTGTATCGTATATGGGGGGAAATTGTGTGCATGTATGTTTGCGTGTATAGTGTTGCACAGATTATACTAGAGAATACAGATTCTCATCTTGGCTAGAAATTTTATGCTACATATCTAGCTTTTTAATTTGATTCTTAAAGAAGGAAAGTTGTGGATTTTTTTCCCCATTAAAGGTATCATTTCATGCATGTTTTTTTTTAAGAAACATTCAGCTGTAAGTAAAAATATCTTCAAGGGTGATATTTTTATTTTTCCCACCACTTATGACCAATTTTTATATCCTTCCTTAATAAATCCAATTTTTAAACTTTAAGATTTATAAATGTAGAAACTGTGAATCTTCTATAGTTTTAGGAACCTGTTCAAACCTGCCACTATTATTTTCAAATCCATATTCTCCAACACAAGAGTTGTTTTCCACTGGGTTTGGTCTTAAGAACGCTTTTTGGCTTTCTTAAGTATCAAGAAATATTAATCTTTTTTCTAAAATACAACCTGATCTGACCATTAAACTGTTTAACGAATAAGCAGGTAGCTACAGCTTGATAAAAAAAGCCTATTTTTTTCCTCATTCAGCTTTGCTAATTTGACCTCTTTCTGAGCTGTCAGACTCCATTCTGTAGTCAAAGGCTAACATCTTACGGGGATTTTGTCAAATAATTCTTCATCATTCTGGTTAGTTGGTCAAGAAAGAGCCAGATACATATAGCTTAATGAGCCCCCTTCCCCAACTTGCTTGGTTTTCATTTGGATGGGAAAGAAGATAATTTCATATTATTCTTCTGTTTTTCATGAAAAAGTCTATTCTGTAAAGTACATACAAATGAATTAATATAATTTCTGTCAGGAGTGAAAGAGTGTTGGGATCATGTTTGCAGGACTGAAAAAAAATACAAAAGTTTAAAAAACAAGGTTACCTGCTTATTAGTGCTGCAGATTTCATCACAAAATTATTTGCAACGGATGTGGAGATAAAAAATGGCAGAGGAAGGTGAACTGAAGCCTTAAGAGCAAGTGTGAAAAAAGGAAGTCCAACAGATAGGGATTCCTTGTTCAAGCGAGTTCAGGTTTCTGAATTCCTATGGTCACACTTATATTAAGTGTGAGGGACCCCATAGAATTCATAGAGTTGATTCATTATTGGTCAGAAACCAAATAATTGCAGAATTACCTGGGATGGAGGCCTGGGAACATAATACTTTCACCTATTGAATGCCTGCCTTCCATGTAGCAATGCTTGTCAGAAGAGACAATGGCTTAGCAGCAACCAATGAAGTTGCATTTGTGTTATGTTGAAATGAATATTCAACCTTCCAGTTTTTTTTAGTGAAAGGGCAAATGGGGTAATAAATACTTTCATGGATGATGCTAAAATACCTTGAAAGGGGAGAACAAGTCCACCTAAATAAACTATTTTTAAGAGAGAGATCTCACTGGATAAGGATACACTGGGGCCTTCTTAACCCAAGACTGGTGTTGAAAACCCTAATGGGCCCAAGTCAATGGATGGCTCTGCAACAATCATGGATATTAACGTGTTTGGTTGAGTCAGTTAAATATTCCCTTGGGAAGTAAGGACACAAGGGAAGGAGGAAGAGAAGATAAATTAGCAGCTCGGAAAAAATAAGCAAAGTTGGACATTTAATTTTGTCCTGTGTAATAAATCCTGTTTGTGTTGGAAAAGACACCATTCTTTTTTTTTCTGATCCTGTTCGTCCACTTAATAGCAGCTGACACAGAGACATAGAACAAAGTATTTTTCCCCCCTCTGTTCCATTTCATCCCAATGACAGAAAAGTCACTTCTTTTCCTTACTGCTATGTATCAAGTCTTCTGATAAATGAAGAGAAGAGACAGGATGAAAGTTGGCAGCTGAGTTTTAGAATATCAGAAATACTTGTGCAAACCACTCCCTCCACCTCATTAGTATTCTTATGATCAATTTCTTTCGCCTCCGCTGTAGTGTTTCGTTTGGCCAGCCTCTTGAATGGTGGGTACAAGGCAAGTGGGGAAGTTTGCTTCCATCACATCATGGTGGGCCACTGCTGGCAAACTCAGAAAGACTCTGGACAACCTGTCACGGCCCCTCATGCCACTGCATGCTAGTGGATCTTGACATGCACCCAACTATGCCAACACAACACCAATCCCAAATTTTGGTTCATTTTGTACAAGGCACTCCCGTGACTTAGTATCTTGCAGCCATGCTGATGTTTCTTTAATTATGGTAGAGAATTTAGGCATTATATTTATGCATACAGTGTCTAGTAAAACCACAGATCAAAGAAAGAAAAAAAATAAGAGAAAGAAAAAGTAAAAAAAACAAAACACAAAAATTACTATTTATTTATTTTGGCTCAAGAGGGCAGTAGATATGTTTCAATTTCTTTTGGTTGACACTCTTGATTATAATCTCTGCCACAATTGTACTACCTACTAGGGTAGGATATGTGCATAACAGGTATTTAAGCTACCTAACAAGCACATGGCAAAAGATGAGGAAAGAATGCTTCAGGGAAATAAATGCATTAGACTGGATGTAAAGGAGTCAAATTTATGGACTTTTTTTAAAAAAACAAACAAACTTGAAATCCCAGGATTGATCTAAAAGAAAAGTGACGACACTCTGGAAGTTCCTATCACTACCAATGATAGAATTTTCCCGTCTTTTATTTATTTTTGCAAAAACAAAAAAAGGGAGGCTTACTGTTTCTTTTAATAAGGCACTAAATAGACATGTTACATAAAGGAAAGATACATTTTTAAAAAGTCTACAAATTCTTTGACTTTCATAGGAAGATAAGAGTTCTTCCTTGTTTTTACCTTAAAAGAACTGCAAATTGGAGTTCTTGTAAAGCTATTATTAAGGAGCTAGAGAGGGAGGTTGAGGTTGTCTATTCCTAGCTCCCTCCCCCAAAGGTGGCATTTTTTAAAATGTTCATTTCTATATTTTCATTATGATCCCTTTAATATATATATTAAAAGTCGTGAGACTTTTTTCTTCTTCAAGTAATAGAAAAATCGCATAAAAACAAGAGTTATTGCCTTTATATCTTTCATTTATGTTACCTTCCTAGTTAGCATCTGGCAAAAACCAAATTACACCTCCTTGTATACATACAGCTCCCTCTGCTAATTAGGTCTGGAACTGTATAGCCATAAAGATTGCCAACTTCTCAACTGGCCCTGATAGCTCTTCCTTTATCATTGGCTAAAGAGGTCTGGTGACCCCCAACTGCCTCTTTTCCATAACTTTTGATCAAAGGTTGATGATATAATTAGAAACAGGAATGTTGATACCCTTCAATGATCAGCAAAGATCCAGATAGTAATTCTGAACTCAAAACACCAATTGGCCTGTTCTCCTCAGTCAGACAAATATCAAAGATCAAGTTTTTAATCTCCACTCTATTCAAAGTCTACCCAGCACGGCTCGTTTTGGGAAAAAACTGACTGCCTTCCTAGCTAAAACTTAAACATTGTGCATTATCTAGAGCAGGGGTGGGGCACCTTGGCTCTTTTATGACTCGTGGACTTCAACTCCCAGAATTCCTGAGCCAGCCATGCTGAGGAGAAAGGGAGACGTTTCCATGCTGAGCCATGCCGGCTCAGGAATTCTGGGAGTTGAAGTCCACAAATCATAAAAGAGCCAAAGTTGCCTACCCCTTGTCTAGAGAGATCCAGAGACTGATGCTCTGGAAATGTTTAAACAATTCCTTCCTCTTTTGTCATTTATGCCTCTCACTCTCTTTCACTCAAATCATATATGAATTAATCATGTGGATTAAAAACAACCAACCAGACCTTTACACATTAAAAATGTAAACAAAAGGCAAAACGGTTTACAAAAAAAAAGCAAGACAACGCTTTAAAGAAGGGGATAACATGAGCTGATTTGTTTGTTTGAAGGTTAGATGGCGCATCCTTGATCAAGAAGGATCACGATTGCAAGTGGCAAACACAGACCAGCAGTGCTAAGAGATTATGGACTTGCTTCTAAAACCTGAACATGACTCTTTTGCCTTGAATACATCAGAGTAGCTGAAATATTTCCATCTACATGTCTCCCTATTCCCAGCTGAAATAAATACAACACAGTTAACAATCAAAGGCAGTCAAGAGAGGAACATAATTTGGCAAGGGTGGTTTTCAAGACCCCTTCCTTTTCTTTCAGGATAGAGTGACACAAAGATAGATGGAACCCTGGACCATGAAGCAGAGGGGTGTCTGCAATTTCCTTAACCCAACTATTTGGCCCAAGTGCCCGGCACTACCATGCACAGCTAAGTGGAAAGCTGATTTAGTGAGGGATTAATATATCCTCCCTGGTTTTTTTAAAACCCTGCTTTTTAGCTTGAACCTGAAATTTGGGATAGGTCGTTTCTTTCCTCCAGTTAGGAGGATGCAAAGTAGAATTAACAAACTGCATTTGGCTTCCAGAGAAACCTGCAGACTCAGATTAGCAGATGTAAAGAAGGATCAGGCCCATCTTCCTTTAACTGTGGGATAAATGAAAAGTATTTTAGAGTTAACTCCATTTGTGGACCCAATAGGACAAGCTTGTGCTTGTCACTGGTCCCTCCTCCTACTTAAAAAAAAAAAATTAAAGCAGCCCAGGGACCATGGCTTTGCCATGTGAACAACCTTCACTTATAAAACTTATTTAAAATCTTGTGAAAAGCAGGGCACCGGAAGCGCTATTAATCTCAAAGGCAGGACTTCTGAATCTTGATGGTCCTTCACTCCTTTTATTATCTTAACCAGAGAGAGCGCCCAAATTATATTGTTATTAAAAAAATTGATGACAATTAGAAGCCATCACCCACTCATTAAAAAATAAAATAATGTAATGACTGTGTATGCTTTTATGGCCTTCCTGAAATTAACAAGATAATAAAAATAGAACAACTGTTCCAGTTTGCCTTTGGAGGGCTTGTTTTTGCAAAATATAAAAACACCCAGGTGCTTCAAAGCTCTGGAGCAGAAAAATAGTTTATCTAAGCAAGAGACTGCCTTTATCTTCAACTCTGAGACGAATTCAGACTTTTATAGAAGGAGAATAAGGAGAACAAGGGAAAGATCTTGCTTAGGCATTATTCTAACTGCACATAGGTTCAGGATGAACAGCACTCCAGCCCAACGAAGACCACACGCAGTGCTAATTGCGTTGCACAATTAAACTCTTCATTTTTGAATTATTATTTTTTCATGCTTTCAATGGCCATAAATCAATTTCACATGTTAAATGTTCCCTTTAAAAAAAAAACATAATGATTTCGTAGGGAATGTAGGATTATGTAAGCATTATGCTGCTTGACAAGCCTGGGAATGAATACCCGAGTGCAAAAAACCAGTACAAAGAAAATACATAGGCATCAAATCAATGGAGAAACATATACTCACAGGTGTAGAAATGGCCTCTTCCCCTTTTGAAGCAAACCCTCAAGTACAGAGGGAGAAACTGTGGGGCAGGGGCACAATTAACTTGTTCATTTCTTTAAAGGGACAATTTTTTATGTATGCTCAGCCCCTTCACATTTAATGAAATACATGTACATGATGGGTTCTGGTCTCTTTTATAGGCATCCGTCTGTACTTGTTGATAGGTGCCAAGGAACTACCACAGGTCTAAGAGAGCGTCATGTGACTCTGAAGAATTAAAAAAAGAAAATTTCGCACAAGATGCAGTCCTTCTCTTCCCCCCCCCCATGACTCTGTTCAGACCTCAACGTACTTTCCTCAACAGTTTTATGGTAGACAGGATAAGAGATTTCTAACCAACACAAGCACTGACACATTTATATTAAAAAATAGTGCAAAATTTCAACATTTATATAAATAATTCTAAACCCCTGCTTTTGTTTTTTTTCTTTTTTTCCTATTGTTTTTCTCTTTCTCACTTTTTTAAACAACGTCATACATGCTTTCTTGACTTGGCTCTCAAAAGTTGCCATGTTTTATATTCTAAGTTCAGAAAAAAACACAACAAATCGCTTTTTTTTCCTCAATAGGCCTCTTCTAATATAAAAATACTCCTGCTCCCCCCCCTCCCACACACATACAGTTTCTCTTATTTTTTTAATATATATATTTATATATATATATATATTGCAGATTTTTAAACAAATGTTTTTGTGCAAATATTTTTTTTTCATCTTTAAAGTTAAGTGAACTAAAACAAAAGTTGTAGCATCCACACGCACAATTCAACTAGATACAAAACTGGGAAGGGAAAATGGAGGAGGCGGGTGGGGGGAAAGGACTGCTGTAGATTTATTTAGAAAGGGGGGAGGGAAATCAAACTCTTCCTAACAGAGCTCAACAAAGAAATGTTTTTGCAAGTTTTGTTGGCTTGCGCATTCAGACCAAACATCACATGTAAATATTTATACTACACAGAGGTGGAGAAGGGCGTTTGGTTTCATCCCCCTCCCCGTCTCCATATACTTCCCCCCTCCTATTTATCAAGAAGTGCAGAGTGTTTCCTTTCTTTTTTCTTTTAAAAAGGGTGCCCTTTCTGTTTGTCCTTCTCTTTGTTCCACATCGTTGTGCTCTCAAGATTGCTGATGGGCGAAGGCGAAGGGAACGAAGGCACCCCACTGTTGTTTTGCTGGTGCTGGTAAAACGTAGATCCCGGGAAATGGCCAATGACCTCATTGTATGTTGGAGGAGGCCCTTCCATTCGGCTGTTGCTTCCGTAGCAAGTTGCGCTGATGCCCGAGTTGCTGCTCGGAGGGCAGGGTCCTCCATACACTGAATTATCTATCAGGTCACTGTCAAAGATGGTTCTGTTGGGAGGAGCTCGGACCGACTCCCTATTGAGTTCCATTTGCTGCTCAGGGTCTCGGAGCTGCAAGGTGCAAGGCCCCTGATAAGGAGGCGGCTCTTCTCCATCCGACAGGGAGATGGTAGGGGGCAGGTCAATTTCGTGCTGCATATAAGGGTACGTTGGCTGGAATCTGTTGAAGCGGTCTCTCTGCAAAAAGGATGGGACTGCTAGTCTGTCGGTAGGCCTTGGTGTATAGACTTGCTGCTGGAGAGAAGAAAGAGAAAAGCCATGAGGTTGCCAGGCAAATCAAGGAGCTGGGATTTATCCTCTATTGCATATCTGTTCCTTACCTCTGTTACACCATTTCCTGACACTGTGCTTTCCGAAGGCCATAAGCTGCCATCCTAAAAAATTGAAAGAAGACAGTTTTCAAAACCCTTATTGGATGGTCCACCTTTTCTTAAGCCCAACACATTAAGATAGTATAGAGGTTTGAAAGCACCTGCTCCTGCATGGCTGAGGAATCTACCCACCAGACAGGTGAGGTGCAAATAAAGAAGGTCTCCAGATGTGAGTGCCCTCCATATTAGGGAAATTAAGTGGCAGAGAACCTGTTTGACATGCTGAAGATCCTGGGCCCCATAGCTTCATGCAGATACATGTAATGTCTGGAACCCCATAGAGCAGAAGTGCCACACTGAGAACTGGGATTTTGAAGACTTCACTAAAAAGGTAAGCAGAGCTAGGAATTAGTGAGTGGAGGTTGTTGTCGGAATCAGGAGGTCACATGGCTTTAACTGCCAATTTTATCTTTTAACACTCCCCTCCCTTGCAAAACGTAGGATCAAATATTTGGTCCTGCCTATTGTGGAGAAGCCTGGGGATCATATCTGTACCATTTTGCACTCTGAAGAAAAGTGGTTATAAAATCAATGATATTGAACGTAATGGGCCAAGAGACTGTAGTTGTCTAAGAGTTGAAGCTGGCAGAAAAGATTCTTCTCTAATAATATTTCAGAAGGTTTTGAATGTCACAAAATTTAATCTGTGTTTTTCATAGGTTTAAGATCTCTCTGAGTTGCAAAGGAGAGGTATCGCATCAATGTCTACAACCTCCTTTAAAACACAAGAGTATTAAAAATGATAAGCATCATCATTAAGTAGTGTTCAAATCAAATGCTGATTAAGGGGAAATTAAGGAAGGCAAGTGATTATTTATTTGTTGAACTATTCTTGGAAAACTACTCCTTTTCAAAATATCTGGAAATTTTGATCTGTGACAATCTGGGGGCATTATTAACAAATAGGAAAATAACCACTAGTTGAAATATCTATGTATTTAATCTTATTATTCTTCAAGGAATTCAAAATGACATCCCTGTATTTTCTCTATTCAATCCTCATAGCAACCCTATAAAGTTGATTAAAGTCAGCCAAAGGGAAAGAAAAAAAATCTGAAGAAAAAAAATCAACACAATTCCATATTCATGTTGCTTCTTTTTTCAATATATTGGTTTAGTAATCAGGCCTTTATGCTAAGCTATGTTTCTATCATGATTATTTGTGGAAGCTAGATTTCAGCAAAACAGCTCAATCCATGGCTTTTATTGAGAATAATGAGTATCAACTATCCTTTGTTCTTAACCTCTTGTTAATTAGCAGTAGAAAGATACAAAAAGAAATGAGTGTGATTTCCTTCCAAATTCTCCATTTCCCTATTAGTACTGTGACTTCTTTCACTGAAATGTACTTTTTGTCAGGGACTGGGAAATTCCTATTGCAATCCCCCCCACCCCAAAAATAAGAACTTATAAGACAAAGCAAGCATCTTAGCGCATATTTAAAAGCTTAATCCATATTGTTTCACCTTGCTGCCTCCTGAATGTCTAAAAACAGTTCTTCCCAAGCGAGCCTTGTTAGCTGGGAGTTTCAATTCAAATGCATTTATTGATCATTAAATTTAAGAGGACTGTCTAGAAAGTTGTAAATCACAAAAGAGACTCTTATCAGAGGAACTGATTAAAATGGGAGCTGTGGAATACAGTAAGGACAATTAGCTTTAGGACTTGGAAAGCATAAATGCAGTAGAATGTGATCATTTCTATTCCTTTAAGCTGTAACATTTGCTTCGAATTTTCATATTAACATTAGCTATGAAAATTCCCTTTATCCAAATCTGAACTTCCCCGGGGTATTTCATCAATGAGTTCTAGCTTCTTCACTCAGGCTTCAGGATCTACAGCATATTGAATCAAATATTGCAAGGCCATGCATGCATTTAAAAGAAAATTAGCAAAAATGAAAACTGTACCTCCAGTTGAAACCAGAAGAGGGGGTGACAAATTTATTAGTGTGCATCTAAACCAAACTACCTGATAATTGGCAATTATCACGCAATTAGGGAGTTATACAAACTTTGCATAATGAATGCAAATTGGATAGAAACTCCCAAAGTTATAAGTAACAAGAGGCAGGATGCTGGTCTATTCAGTAGGAAAAAAAAAAAAAACTTAGAACTAAAATCAATCAAAATGGTAGATACACTAAAAAAAAAAATTATACTCTCAGGTTAGCATGATATGAATGTTATATTATATCCAGTTCCTATGTATGAAGTTTTACATGATTTTCCCCACAACATCAACTCTGGAGGGACGAAAAAAATATTATTTTTACACTCTGTGATGTTTTCAGTGCCTCATGTAGGCGAAATAAGTTAAAATTAAGATGGCTTCATAGGTGAAAGTATGCCGTGAAATAGACAGGGTACAGTACCCGTTTTGCAATATATTTAGGCATCAAGTGCCTGTCGAATGCATTCTATTCCATTATGTTTTAAAACTCTGCTTTGCACACACATAAGCCCCAAGGCAGTGCTGCTGCTCTAAGAAGGGAAAAGAAGTTATTTATATGGAAATGAACCACTCCAGATGTTTTCCCCTTCCTTCTGTTTTATAGCAAATCTTGTCACAAAAATGCCTCTTATAAGATAAGGGACTCCTTTGAAGTGAAAGATAACGGATTGCCAGTGTTGATTTCATACAGCGTATTAATCCAGTTGCAGCATTTGACTGATGTAACTAATAAAATGTCTGTATTTTAGAAAGCTGTTGTGAGCTGCTGAGGAATTACAGATTCAGTTGGGCCCCGGAATTTGGTTTCTCTTTTAAATTTAACATAAACAATAACCAGTGTACCAAAAATTAGAGGAACACAAATAAATGCACCTCCAGATGGCAAGAATCTTTCACCAGGTGAAGATTTCACGAAAAAAGGAAAAGCAAGCAAGCAAGCAAGCAATGCATTAATATAGGAAATATTCTGACAAAATTATTCCATTAAAAATGGCCGTAAAACCTTCTTATTCAGATTAGGGTTCCAGGGAAGTCATTTTACACTTACATAGAGATGACTGTCTCATTTGTTTATTAATTCATATCCTTACTGTTTTCCAGAACCTGAAGGCAGCCTAAGTAGCGTTTCCTGCAATTTTCCCCATGACAACAATTCTATGGAGTAGACCAGGGGTAGTCAACCTTGGCTCTTTTATGACTCGTGGACGTCAACTCCCAGGAATTCTGGGAGTTGAAGTCCACGAGTCATAAAAGAGCCAAGGTTGACTACCCCTGGGGTAGACTGCACTGAGAGGCAGCGCTTGGCTCAAAACCACACAATTAACTTAGGTAGCTCAGGGTAGATTTCAGTTTGGTTTTCCCAGGTCCTAATTCAAATCATAACGCGGATAACTGCAGCTTGGCAAAACTCACAGCAGAGATACAAGCTGAATTAGGGCCCTTTTGCCCCAGACTTCATGGTAGTCCTATTATAATTCTAGAGTAGATTCTAGCCAATTTTAGATGTATTGAAGAGAAACCCAATGAAAGTATACGGCACTCACTTTCACGAAGACAGGCATAAAAACTCATTATGTCTCAAATAATATGTAATAGTAGCTTTCAAAAGGTTTTCAAGCTCAGACCAAAAGATTCATAGGGAATCTTGGGTGTGAGCATCACATCACAGCCTGAGTTAAAACTGTGATCCGCCATCCTCCGTGAATTGGACAAAAATGATTATTTGCTCTTTCGATTGCTTCCCCCCTGTTCTGTTGCATCTGTCCTGAACTGCTGCTGAATGGGGTTATCCTGATTATGTGTGTGCTGTGCATAATACAAAAAAAGATTGACCTTCTTCAGCACATCACTAGCTAACAAGACAAATATCTGTTCCTTAGGGGTTTTTTTTTATATTAATGTTTTCTAGTTTTTATGGTATCCATCCAGAGTCACTTTTTTGTGAAACAGGCAGCCATATAAATTGGATGGATGGACGGACAGATGGATCTGTCAATCATGCATTGCAGCAGATATAGAGTGGCTCTGGTTACAGGGATGTCTCTAAACCCTAACTGGATTCTTATCTTACATCTATTCCAGCGTTACTGAACAACAATAAGGTTAAAACATATGTTGAAAGGGAGCTGAGTCAAAAGCACCATTTTTATTTCAGATTTTCCTCTCCTTCCTTCCCCCTCCCTATAAAGGAAATTAATACTGACTTCCAGATTCCTCTGGATTATATTTTGGAAGGAGTGGGGTGGTCTATTTCAGCCTTGCACTAAACTAGCAAGGAGCCAAGATAGCACAGCTGTCTAACACTATTTAGCAGTTCTGATACACCCCCTTTTAAATTTACTACTTACTGATTGTTCCCACCATTCCATAAGGGATGTAAAATAGTAACATCTATCCATCATATTTAGCTATGCTGATAGATAAGGATTTGCTGGAGGGAACTGTTTGCATGAAGCTACAGTAGGGTGGTGAAAGGAATACAAAGAGAACACTTGTTTGCTCATCACCCTTATAAAAATCGAAAGAATTATTGTGTCTAGTTATTTAGGGAGAAAACAGCACAATGACAGCAAACAGAGGGCCCAAAACAGCTAATAAATGCCTCATTGACCCATTTACTACTGGTCACCCAACTCACTATCTGATACAATGGGTGACAAATGCAGGCTTGATGCACCTTGCAGTTATCACTGGATGCCGCTACCTTAAAGGGGAAAACAATTATTTTAGCAAGGGTACAGCAGAGAATAATTTAAGCCTGTCTCACTCAAGAGTTGAGGTTGAGGTTGAGGTCTGGCAAGAAAAAAGAGGGTTCCAAGGATATGTTTGTGTCCTGGTTACATGCAAGGAGGAAAAGGGCCTTTGATGTGAGTCAAGAAAAACCTTGTTGGGTTTACTAGCCTTGAAACAACATCAGCAACTCTCCTTGATGACAAATCAGGTAGACAAGAAGACATGCTGGTCAAGATTGGCATGTAAGGAGGACTGTAAAGAGTTTCCTCAAATGGAAAGCTACATGTGGAATTCAACAAAACATTTAGTTCTGAATCATTTGGAACATATAAATTCATGAGCCCTGCTGTCCCTTGGATCAAACCACTGCCTGAATGCAAAAAAAGGCTGTTTTGAGTATTTTGGCTATGTTTTTGCATGTGAAACAGCTCTGTTTCTAGTGTGAAACACACTGTTTGGGGCTTGAAATTCTTCCCAAATGTTCAAAGCAATCAATTTTGCATTCAGAACAGTAGTTTTCCCCTCCCGTAAAATTCAAGTTGCGTGGGTTAAAGATCCGCCTGATAACAGTAACACACCTACTAGCCAGAGAGGACAGAATCACAGTTAAACATAAAAATGTTTATATTTCATCATCCATGGCAGATTTATTAAGTGGTGAGTATATCATTGCCTTATGCTCCCTGGTGTCTATTTAATTTAACAGTGAGGAAAGCTATTGCATTATTCCATCTGCTTCTACAGTTCTTTAGGCTGATGTCAAGCTGACAGTCTTGTGTGGTGGAGGCAGTTAAAGGCTGCCACAGAGTTGACAAGCTGATGCTTTTTGAGTTTCTGTCTTCCCTTCCATTTTTAAGAGCTTTGTGCGTCCTCTACATATGAGAAGCCTGCACTGTTTTTGATCTGGATGAATTAATCCTAGATTAAAACTTCTAGAATCAACCTTACACTTGTTCATATCCTAAGGGGCCACTCAGTTATGACATAAAATTAAATATAAATTAAAAATGCATATAGGAGAATAGCACCATTTGGGCTCTGAAGGATTTATGCATTGCTCCATTATATAGTTTAATTTATTTCAATTCATTATTAAGAAACTTATTGGTAGTTTTTTTTGTAGAAATCTATGTGCAGGATGGATGATCTACAACCCACCCACTAAAAATAAACATTATAAAAGAAAAAAAACATAGTAAGGTTTATGATAAATTATTATAATTAGCTTTTAGTACATGTCATCTTTATAAAATTATAAAGTAAAAATGCCCCTCGGAATGTAAATACGCAAAACAGAAAATATAAAATTAAAAGAGCTAGAGGAAAATTCCTGATGAAAATGAAACAGCAAAGCTGAAGCAGTAGAAGAATTTTACTGTTCAAAACCCAAGTGAGGGAGCCATACTGTTTTGCAAAGCAGCTTTCTGGGGGTGCTTAAAGATAAGTACCCTTATAAACACTCCAGAAATAACAGATCTTGCTCATTCTTCCCTCACCCATATCAATATGTGTGACATGTAACATAGGAAGCTAAAGCTTTGTTCAGAGGAGTAATTCACACAATCCACAGAGTAACCTATTTGCCACCAAGCAAATATTCACAAGTGAGGGGCTCTGGAGTATTCTGACTAAAAGCCACAACGGAACGAATAATATTTTTTTTCCTATTTAGACATTCAAACAAATCCTTAGCTGTATCAAGTGTAGAGGATCCTTGGTTAATGACAACTCTTTCAGTGGCTGTTAGAACTAATGATAGCACTGAACAAGGTCCAACTGTCGCAGGACCCCGTAGTCATGTGAATGCTATCCTGGCAGCTTGCCAACCAGCTTGGATTTCTGACTATTATAACGGTCACATGGTTGTGATTTGCAACCTTCCCTACCGGCTTCCCAAAAGCAAAATCAATGGGGAAGTCGGCAGGAAGTCAGCAGCTGTGGTCACATGAAGTTTTCATTTAATGACCTGTGGTAATTTGCTTAGTGATGGTAACTGAGGATTGCTAGAACTGCCAGTGCTAGGCACCAAGATCATAAGACATCATGCAATTGCAACAACAATTATGATTGTTAAGCAAAGACTGCCTGTTATATGACCTTGGGCTAAGAAATACAATAGAATAAGAAACGGGAAAGGAAGGGATTGTTTCCAAACCACAGACCATAATCATTCCACTTTATTCAGACTCTCTTTGGACTGCTCTGTTCAGAATTTTAAAAAGCAATTTGGAATATTTTCTATAAAGGCCTGTGAAGATGGTCAGTGGTATGGAGAGCATCCAAAAGAATAGAATACTCTTAGCTTGAAAAAGGAGAAATGATACAACAAGCATCATCACACACAAGTTGGATATAAGCATTAGAGGAGACTGGAAGGTGCACACCTTGATGAGGCCAATCCAAAACCATCCTACATGGACATAGTGAAGCTTCCTCTTGCCAAAAGTCATTATTTATGGGAGATCAATGTCTACTATTGTTCCCAGGGCTATATATCATTCAAAACATAGTCTTGGAGGAGTGCTGAACTGTGGACAAGGAGAGGAATTAAAATTCACTAAGTGTAGGAAACCTGGCGGCACAGTGATTAAAATGTAGTATTGCAAGCAAACTCTGCCCACAGTCTGGAGTTCAATCCTCATCAGCTCAAGGTTGACTCAGCCTTCTATCCTTCCAAGGTCAGCAAAATGAAGACCCAGACACTTGGGAGCAATATGCTGACATTGTAAACCACTCAGAGAGTGTTGTAAAAACCCTGTGGGGCAGTATATAAATCTAAGTGCTATTGCTATAGGGCAGGGCCTGCCAGAAAAAAGTAAGTAATGACTTATCAAGGTTGAATCTATCCACCTGGGAAGGTTACCTTAAGTGGATCTGCTGAGAGCAATCCCCCAACAATATCTATAAACCAGTTGACAGCCTATCCATTGGGGGACTCAAGTGCTGGAATTCACCATCAGCAGAGGTTTCTGAAGACCTTCCCATCCAGATGTTTCATAACGGAATTGAAACAAATAGTTCTTCCTGGTTTTTAACCTATTTCTAATGCATACATTGAGGTTGTTCAAGTTGTTTTATATGTTTGTTCTACTTAACAGGGATCCTCAACCTTGGCAACTTGAAGACTTGTGGACTTCAACTCCCAGAATTCCTCAGCCAGCAAAGCTGGCTGAGGAATTCTGGGAGTTGAAGTCCACAAGTCTTCAAGTTACCAAGGTTGAGAACCCCTGTTCTACTGTACGCTGCCCATAGTTTGAAAATTGAGGCAGGCCACAGAAAATTTCAATCAATCAATCAATAATTAGTAGGAAGTTCAATGATAGCAGGATGCATTTGAATATCTGATAGACCAGAAATCGAGATGTTGTGGAGAAACGTGGAGAACTCACTTCTCTGCAAAACAGAAATGCAGCATTGGTATATAAAAAAGGTTACTGTCTTTCGCCTTTAATATTTTAAAGTTATCTGGATCTGCAGCATTCACTGGAGGAAGTGTGTGTGTGTGTGTGTGTGAGAGAGAGAGAGAGAGAGAGAGAGAGAGAGAGAGCGAGAGAGAGAGAGAGAGAGAGAGAGAGAGAGAGAGAGAGAGAGAGAGAGAGAGAGAGAATGGTAAGATGGCAAATGCAGCTTCAAGATGCTATGTTTGCCAATTTGTCTTTTTGGACACCTCCTTCATCCCATCCTCATGGACCACTATTGGTTGGATGGGCTGACAAATAGCAAAGTCTTAGCTGGTAACCATTAGAATTGGCCCCCAACCCTCCTTACCGATGACAGGTTTTCTTCTCTTCTCCGTCCTTGGCTGGGTCGATTGATGAAAGATCTTGCAGAAAGTTTGTAGTGATTCAGCAGGCACGTGATGACAACCACCATAACCATCATCACCACCACAATTATGATTATCTGTACAAACTCTAATTCCGCTATAAAAGAGAAACAAAGAGACAAAGATTGTATTTTAACAGGCCTCAATATAAACCAGAAACAGATAAATAAGAGCAAAGGAAAAATTCTGAGATAAGAGTAGATGTTGACAACAATTAAGTCATAAGAGCACCTCAGTATTATTATTATCCCTTTGTTGGGCATGCCCTTTTTCAAGTATAAGCTTGAAAATCAGAAAAATCTCTTTACTGTCCATAAACTATTCAGGGAAGCCACTTGAGTGAACAATGAGAGGTAGATGCTTTATATAAGGGACAAAGCAACAATTTCTTTGTGTTGTCAAAAAGTGAAAGAAGAAGCACGACTTAAAAAAGGTTTGCAGTATTCTGGACAAATTCTTCCCCAAAATGATTTGAAAATGGCTTTTATGCACAAACTTTCTCTACATCCCCTTGAGAGATCTCATGCAAAAGGGACATGAGACAATATTCATGTTCAAAGACACCCACAGATTAGTTGAATCTTCCAAAATATGAAAGACTAATCAAATAAGACAACTCCTCCTGGGAAAATAATATTATTAATAAATGATAACAACAATAATAAAGCTTCCATCCTACAACATTACCATCAAATGACAACATCTGCCTATTCAAAATCCTTTCAAAGGACTTGATAGGTGAATAAAAATGCCAAATCCATGGCTGACTATTTGTCGAATTGTCATCATCACTATAAGACCGAATGCCAGCAAGGAAAAGCACCAATAGTCACTTTTTGCAAAGACTGAAGAGAAAGTGGATAAAGATAAAACCTGGCAATGACCTACAACTGGAACATTAAAAAAAAAGAAATTGAAGGCTTGATTTTGACTGCTCAAGAGAAAACTATTGCAAAGTATTTCAATCAAGGCCAGAATTGAAGAATCATCAAATCATTCAAAGTGCATATTGTGCAAAGAAGCAGAAGAAATAGTAAATCATATACACAGCTTATGCAAACATAACACAATTGCCAAATTAATCACTGGAACATCTGTTAAAACTATCATGTGCCAGTAAGGAAAAACTGCTGGGAACACAGAGTTGAAAAAGTAGTTGAAAGTGTGGCAAATTGATGTGGCAATATCAGAAGATAGTAAAAGTCAAAGAACTAGAAAAGATCAAAGTATCAAAATCTGAAAATTGAAGTTGAAAGATTATGGCACATATTGGCCATGGGAGTCCCATGGCCAATTATCAGTTATCAGCAAATTATCACTTATCAGTAAACTGGATGTCATATAAAAAATTTGGACAGGACTTACAAAATCTGTGCATTGACAAAATTTTCATCTGTCAATTACAAAAAGTCCCACTACTTGGATCTGCACTGCATTACACTACACTAATGCATTATGATAACCTAGACTCTTGGAAAGAACTTTTTGTGTTTGAAGCCAACAACAGCTAAAGAACTGGCAGATGTGATTTCACATGTTGTGTGCATAGTAATAATAATCCACATTGACAAAATCACCACCAGTCAATTGCAAAAGGCAGCTTTACTAGGAACAGCTTACATTCTGCAATGATATCTGTAACATGATCAGACATCCACTTTTGCCTATCCCAAGTCAATTGCAAGGACTTGATAGATGGACAAAACTGCCAAATCCAATCTGAACATCTGGCTAAATGACAAACTGTATAATAGAGACAATCATATTATAATATTAAAGGAGTCCTTGACTTACAACCACACTTGGGAACAAATTTCATAAGTTGATGTGATCATAAGTCAAGGTATCACATGACTCGACTTTTTATAGTGATCATTAAACATATCACATAGTTGTTATATGAACCATATGGTTATAAGGGTGAAGCCATTTTATCCAATGAACATTTTTGCTGGCTTTTGCCAGAAAACCATTGCAAAGCATAATCACATGATTGCAGATGCTGCAACCAGTCATAAGTGTGAACCAGTATGCCAAATCTCCATAATGGGATTACCGGGTTGATGTAGCAGTCATCACTTCAAGAATGAGTCATAAATAACTTTTTTTAGTCCATTGTAACTCTCAATGCTCATTAAACAATCATAAACAGTCATAAATTGAGGACCACTTATAATACAAAATCACCACCATCGTTGAAAAAAAGTACCTTTATTTGGAACAGCTCACGTCCTGTGATAATACCTTTCTTATTATTAAACAACAACATCTGCCCATTTCTCTTTGGGAAGAACTCAATACATAGACAAAAGTGCCAAATCCAGCCTAAACATCTAGCTGGTTGTGTGACCAACCATAACAACAACAACAACAACTTATATGCCAAAATTCATCACCTCAATTTTTGATCACTGATTCTCAACCAGAAAACAAACCATCTAACCTGTAACACTAAACATACAGTGTTAAAAATACTACCTGGAATATCAACTTCAAATTGGCAATTAAAAATACCTCCCTTCCTCCTCCTCCACCCCCCAAAAAAATCACAGTCACTTTTGCAGTGAATAAATCAAGGCAACCTAGTGGAAGTGAGTAAGGAAGAAGTTGGAAGTGTGAGAATTTTTGAATTTACCAAACAAAAGATGTCATCTATTACTAAAAGGAAAGTCCATGGTTTAATCTGAAAGAGAGGCTAATCCCCTCCCCCTCTCAAATTTATTAAAGTATTGTCTAAGATTCAGGGGAGGGGATTGTTTTAATTCTGACATTCTTCTTTTGGGGTAAATACAGCATTATCCTATCACTTATTCAAGTAAGACATTGCACAAAGACAGCCTTGACTTTTTTTTTTTTACCTAGCTGTGGCCAACCATCCATTGCACCCACCTTCTTTTCCCTATGCTTCAAGAGATTCCTTCCAGATAGTCAACTGCAGCATTCAGATGGCAGCAATCCACTGAGTGACAACAGCCTGGCCAATGGAAAGGCCTCCCACCCCCACCCTGGGAGTTAGCCTACCACTGAAAATGCAGCCGCCGCTTCCAAGCTGATCCCCAGGGGTCTCCGCATGCCAGACTTCCAGACGTAATTTAATTCAAGGCTCAGTTCAGCCAGCTGGCAGAAGCAGCTTGAATGACCTGAGCTGGCACAAAAGTGTCTCACAAAGGGAAGCGGGAGGAGAGGAAGATGTACAAAGCTGTCAAGGAAACAAGAGCAATCAACAACAGGCTACTCAGAGAGTTTGAGGGAGAAGAAGAGAGGACACACAAGCCTTAGGCAGAAATAAGTCCCTGAGTTTTCCATTCACAAATGGACAAGGGCAGATGCTGATGCCTGAGATATCCATATCTGGCAGATTTAGTTTAGGGAGGAAGCTAATGCTGTCCCAATCAGGCTCTCTGTCCTTCCAAGGACCAGGACTCCATGAAGCCCAACAAATGCTTTATGGTTCTCCAAGTGCTCTTTCCTTTGGAGATGATATGTTGAAGGGAACTAATAAGGGTCCAGATCTAAATTGGGCTCATATTGGGCATGCTGGCTGAGGAATTCTGGGAGTTGAAGTCCACGAGTTATAAAAGGGCCAAGTTTGAAGACCCCTGGTATAGATCAATGTTTCTCAAAATTGGCAACTTAAGGCCAGCTGGCTGGCTGGGGAATTCTTCAACTCCACATGTCTTAAGTTGCCAAATTTGAGAAGTACTGGCATAGATGAAGTGTAATCGGAAGTTGTACATATTTTGATTACTTGGTTTCTTTAATACAATTACTATGGGGTGCATGTGTTTGTGTGGGTGGGTATGAGACAGAAGGAAAGATTGAAATGAGGAAGGCTGGTCAGCCAAAAGAATCACAACAACATTGGGAAGACATTTCTCCTGCATTTCCAGCTATAATTTTAATAAGACACACTATCTCTGGGTCGCAAAAATCTGGATGACCATTTGAGGGTGGCACAGATACAGGCCATTCTGACTCCTTGCTTCCGCCTAGATCTTACAGCCTAGATGTATGCTCCCAAAACTAAACATTTTGTTATCTGATAAATAGTCAGTGGCTTCATAGTCTGTACTGGAGATCAGTGGAGGCAGGTCCATGCTTCATACATATTACATAGAGGTAGTGAGAGGAGAGTTCACACTGTACACACGGCACAGATCTCTATCTTAAATAAAGGCTTCAATATGCACTGTGTGAGCCAGACTTGGCATATGATTGTTGAGTGTCTGCAATGAGTGTCTTTAAAATTTTATCCATGCCTGTTCTATTCCAGCCCCTTGACCATGACCTCCGCTGTGATCAGCAAGCTGGCTATTTTAAGAGTGGACATACACTTCAGCCCTGCTGGCCTCTCTGTTCTGCGGATCTCTCCCCACATCAGGCTGCTTCTCTTCCTATCACCTGGCTGAGTGAAGGGTTTCCCTTGGCTGCTGAATTCCTCACAACAGCTGCCACAATTAGCAAGGTTGAGCAACTGACATTTCACTCCCCTGCATTTAGAAGGCCTGTGAACATGCTGTGACATCACTGCCTACCCTCAAGGCCTGCTACAGCAAAATTATTTTTCCATCCTGGGAATGACACAGAACCTGCACTGGAGTTTCCTAGATTGGTCTGTGGACAAACTGCTTTCAGCCACCCTAGTTTTTAGCCCAGTTCTAAAATTTTAGAGGTTCAGGGCCAATGAAAGCAAAAGAGAGGCTGGGAAAATAGCCTATACCTGCTTGTAACTGTGAAGCAGCCAGTCCTGCCAGTTTAAAGCACCTTCAGATCTACTGCAAGCATCCCAAATAATTGTGAACTATATATTCAGCAGTTACGGAGGGAGGATACAAAAACTCAAGATGGCAAGAACAGCTGTGCAATTTAAGCCCCACCCTTTTTTAAAAGGTGCAAGATGTGCATGATACATGTGGAAAAAAGTGAGGCTTCAATCACATCCTTGAGGCAGCCATCTTGACCTTTTTGACACCCCTGCTTAGCTCTCTAAAAACTTTTATTTAACACTGCATTAATTAATTAGGATTCAACATCACTAATTCTCTTCTGGCAAACTAGCTGAAAACAACACAAAAAGGGACATACAATGTTTTCAGT